ATTCTTCCATCAGGCAAGTTTCTGCATTCACATTGACTTGGGCAGTCTAAAGCAAACATTGTAAAATTAGTGAAAGACATGGAAAATACAATTTATATAATTGTTGTGTTTCAAGCTTTACCTAGTAAACAGTCTTGGCCTGCATCGTTATCATCTAGTAATAAAATGTAAACAAAATGTTTATGAATCTAATGGGTTGCCATTCGTTTCGATTGATTTCTATTATATGCAGTCCGATAGATAAAACTGTCGATCGTGCAATCGAAACATCCTAAATATTGTGAGCACGTCTTTCCATTTGTCATAAATTACTGTTCAAAGCCAAAGGTAATCTCATATTATCAATTATCAATCATGTTCTGTCAAAAGAATCAAGTTTTAAATTTCATCAATTAGTGCAATGGGAAAACGCTGAAAAGTCTTCTATCAGAAGTATCAGTGCGCTTTGTCGGCTGAGATTTATTAAAAATAGCAATCAAGTAACCTCCTTTGCAGTCGGTCATACGTTCCCTCTCCTCCTTGATTATTGGAGGATTGCTCGAGCATATAAAAAGCATTTATATTAGTGTCTGCATCAGATATTTTACAAGACTTACAAGGTGTTTCCATACAAATTTTGGAAGTTTTTCACCGTATTTTCAGTTTGGACAATTTCAGCTCTGTTCTGCGGGAAAACTCTTAAATTACTTGACGGAACGCGCGGGGGACGAAAATACAACCTGTACTGTGATTGGTCGAAGTGAGACAGTGATTCTAGGATTTGATTGGCTAAGCTGTTTTTTTTTTTTTTTCAAACAAAGAGAATGGAATGCATCGCTCCATTGAGCAGACGTTAGTGGAGAGGAAACGTATGACCGATACTATAATAACTTCTGCAAAGGAGGCTAGAAATCAGGCCTTTGGAAACATAGCCCTAACGACTTAAGTGATAGTACAGCAGTTTAACACCTGGTTAGTGATGTTAACCTTGTCATGGCACAAAGAGAAACTCGTGCATTTGTTAATGTAGTGTATATTTTAAAATTCCAATATTAGATATTAAGCCCTCCCTTAACGATAGAGTCTGATTGCCCAATATTAATCCTTTTAATCAATCCCTTGATTTTTAACAGAACTGAGGTTCTGCACGAGTAAAATAGAAGTCGTAGCCAAACAATGAGGAGAAGGTTTGATATAAGTTTSCACCAAAGACTTAAAAGATTTCAACCTTTATTGACAACAACGACAAAAATATAATAACTGATGGAAATACCTTTCAGTATCGTGTAA